TTTCACACATGTGATCCCAGACTTTGGTGGCTCTAAGAATGCCTCATTAACCATCTTTTAACTAAAATGACAATAAAAAGTCAAAGTGCTGCTTGTCTTTGGACCTGCTGGACGCTAACCTTGCTCCAAGTTGATATAAAAAAGCTCCAGTGTGTGTTCTCTCATTTCCCTGCGTTGTTCCGAGTTTAAAAAGATTCCCTTCATCACAGTTCAAGCTCAGAGGTCTTTCCCACACACACATATTATTAACTGTTTGTCAGCGTGCTTACATGGTTTCTGCCCTCTAGAGGCAATAAATTGATCAAAATGTGGGCAATGCAACAGTGTTACACATTAAAGCTGGAGTAGGCAGAACTCCAGAAGAGGTTCCTGCAGCTCTGGCCTCTCTGTTTGAAGCCTCTTCCACCAGATGACTGTACGCTTCAAACAAGACATTCAAGATGAAAGTCAGTGTTAGTTTGTGGCTTCATCCAGGATTCATATCCAACCTTGCTGGGTGAAATTCCTCCATCTGAGGCCAGTATTGTAATTCCTGCAGGGTTCGCTAAGTCCACATGATGTAAATTTGTCTCCATGCAGCGACAACACTACAACAACAAATAGTGCACATGTTTAGCAGTAGTGTGCATGTGTGTAGATATTACCTACTGGCCATTACATGCAACATAGTCTTCCAACAACAACAGCAATCATTACACGTCTGTGGTGTCCACAGCTGTCTGTTTACATCCATCAAGGTTTAACCTCCTCCTCATCGTGCTGTTGTGGACGTTGTTGCTCTGAAGTTATCTGGTTCACGCCCTTTGATTAGATAAAATCCTTCATCATTAAATAGATTTTCCAAAGTATGAGCCCAAAGGAGCCCTCTTGACATACAATACGCTGAAAGATTGCATTTTTTGCCCAGCGACTTCAGAAAACACTGCCTACCTCAGCTTTAAGATCAGTTTAGTCTTTATAAAGAGTTTTTTACTGGGTAAGTAAGTTTGAGAAGATGCCATAAAGATGATCTCAGGATTGCTTCGGAGGCGGCACAGTTTTGACAACAAACTGTGAGCATGTAGTTTGTAGTAGAGTTAATAGAGTTTTATAAAGCTTGAAGTTGAAATATGGGAATTTGTTGACTCGTACGAAATGTCTAAAGTCAGTACGTGTTGGCTTATTGCAACAGGTGCTCTTCTTCTTTTTTTTGATTCGTCTCTTGGAAGATGCTAAGCTGCCACATTTAATGCAGTGTTTCAAAAACAGTAGTAGTTACATAAAAGTGATGCGTGTGATTCTATTCCAACACACCTTTGTGGCAAATTCAGTGAATACCTCCTCATGGTGTATGCTCTGTATGAATAGAAAATCTGTCTGTACACAGTTGTGGGTCTGGAAAAGGGAAGCAGAAGCTCAGAGTGCGTTATTCGTGGATGTTGTCTGCATGTTGTTGCACAGGACAGAGGAGAAGGAAGAGGACGGTTGATCTGGGACATGTTAACAGTCTAAAGATAATAAACATCAACAGTCTTTTCTCCCAAACCACAGACTGCACCTTTAAGGCTGCCTCTGTTACACAGACATAGCAACAGCTAAGTTATACATGTAAATAAAAAAACCTTTCAAAACATGAGCCAAGTATAGCAGCAGTTGTTTCAGGTATTTCTGTGTCACACATTCCCATGAAATCACGGCGTACAGCTCGTCCTGGATCACTGAGGTATTCCCATCCATTTAGCAGGGAACCTTGTTCCCTTCCTACATCTGTTTCCTACATCTGTAGGAAACATGACGCGATTACCATCTTCATGCTATAATTATTGTCTTCCCTCTCGGTGAAGCGATCACAGGCTTCTCTTGAGAAAATTCTGCCACATGCAGTGAATTCCTTGCTTGTACATCCTCCTCCTCCCCCATCCACAACACAGGCATCGGGACCGGCATGCAAATTAAATTACAGAAGATATAGAGCTCCATAGGGTACTGAGAGTGCACTGAATTCCTTTAAATTCCAGCGCCTGTGTGTGTGTTTGTGTGTGTGTGTGTGTGTGTGTACGGTGACACAGAGAGAATTAGTCGTCACATAACTGGTAGGAAAGCAGGCAATACAACTACAGTGCTATAAAAAAAAAATTAAAAAAAAGGAGAATAAAAAATCTTTTGGGATTAGTCCATGGAATTGACACCCCCTCCCCCCTTCCCACTGCTGAAAAGGACTTTCCTCTTGCCAAGTGGCAGCGTGTATCAAGGCCTTCATTTCAAAATCGCAGCAAATGAGCTATGTTTCTCTGTTCTGTTGCCATGGGTAACACATCTTTTTCTTCTCATGTCTAATCTTGGCTTCTCTTTGAGATATCTTCCATTTGGAAAGCCTGCCTGCTACTGCAGCACTGGCACTGTTTCACGGCCTTGTCAGCTATTAGGCTTTGCTCGGTGGCTAGGAAATCGTACTACTGCCTACTTTTGTATGTATAGACGGATTATTATATCAACTATCCACCGCTGACAGCTGCAGAAGGCTAATCTTTGTCTAAGGCTGCTTTGGCATCTTAAAGTTAACGTTATACTCACATTTTTGGCCTCGTGCACTCATTCTCGTGCCTTTCCTTTATTTTTGTTCATGCTATTGGTAAATAATTTGAATTGGGAATCATGTGTGCGTAAGAAAAACACAGATTCAGTCTTTCAGTTTGCGTGATAAACTTGGAGGAAAGTGGAGTTATTTTGACTTTAATTTCAACAAATCAGTGCAGCTCCGGCTAATTAACAACGATAAAGTTTGTCGGAGATTTGCAACATCTCATTAATTTTATGAATATGAACCCAAGCGCATCAATTTTTACTGCTCTTGTTGTAAAATATTAATTGTGGTGGCAGTGGCAGCTTTATTTCCAATCTTAGCGGCTCCAGTATTGTCTGCTCAGGCGGCCTTACCGAGCTAGAGGGGGAGGAAAATGCAGCAAAAATAATCTGACATTTTTAATGAAACTAAACATTAGTCGTGACATTTTACCTTAAAGGTTCGGCTTGGAGGAATCATCTAGCCGTGAGGTTTCAGCCGATTCCAAGCATGCAGGAGAAGCTGCAGCTTTCCAGAGCCGAGGTTGTTTGTCTGTTCTGGGCTCCTGTACAAACATGGCGTGCTCTTTGAAAGAGGTCCCAGGCTGCAGCTGAATAGCCTTTTTTTTTTTTTTTTTTGCTCAGGAAGGTTCCTAACTGAGTGAAATGACCCTGAACTATCTAAGTGGAAGCCCCCGATAAGAGCTGGTCCGGTTCTCTAAAAGCGAAGGGAAGATGCTCCAGTGCTTCCTTTCTTGTCTCTTTTAGCGTCGAAGGAGAATGAATAATTTCTTCCGGCAGCAAGGTTCAAATTGATGCACTTTCCACAAGAGACCCACATCGTATGGTTACACAGCCTAGCGTAGGTAAGAATGATCATAATAACGTTTATTTATAGCGCACTTTTCAAAATCCAGTTTACAAAGTGCTTCAGCAGGCAGCGAAATAAAAGGGACGGGTCGTAAAATCAGCAGAATTTAGAGAAAGATGAAAGCACGACATCGTGTAAAAAACCAGCACAACGTTAAAGAGAAAATAAAAGAGTTTAAAGGAAATAAAACTGTAATAAAAGAAGAGACTCATTAGTAAGTACAGTAAGATGTCTTTACCTGTCTCCTACTTATTGCCCTTCACGAGGGATGTCCGATAATATCGGCCCATCAAAATTATCGGCCAGATATTGGCATAAAAATGTAATATCTGTCAATGTTGTTATCATTTTTTTTGCCTATAATGAAAAAAGATAAAAAATAATGCCTGGATTTCGCCAGCATTTACCAGCGAAATCCAGTGATGACGACATCAAACTGCATCGTGAAGCGTGTCAATATACAACTCCACTACCTCTGCCCAATATCCACTCTGTGTAATATACACTGTGCTCATTATTTAATTTCATCTTTTTATATAAAGTTAGTTTCTTTTTGCTTGTTTTTATATGTATATATATTTCCTTTATATTGTATATAGTGTTTACAAAGTATTTATTGTTCTACAAAGTTCTTATATTTTTGTATTTTTGCACTGAGAGGACTGCACCTCACGTTTCGTTGTACTTGTTACAATGACAATAAAACAAATCTGAATCTGAATCTGAAGTCAACAAGTGTGGCTGCAGTAACAAGCATATATCGGTATTGGTTGATATCAGAATCAGAAATTGAGAGTTGGACAATATCGGTATATCAGATATCCCTACATCCCGACCCTTCACATATTTTGTTCACTTCTTGACGTTTCCGTAAAAAAAATGTTCAAGACAAGACGTCTTGTTTTTTCTGTTTTTTTTTTTTTACTGTTCGGCCACAAAACCTTTTTGCCCAACAATCCATGGTTACAAGTGATTACACACAGATAAAAGCATAATTATGAATACTGCCTTATAAATACACTTATATTGCTGTATTTGTAGTCATATTTTGCTCTTGTTTTTATTGTGCTTGTTATTTATTAGGCTTTTTTTTCTTTAAAAACTGGGACCTCATTTCGTACCATACACGTGAATGTGAGCTGGCATGACGAATAAAGTTTCTTAAATCCTTGAATCCTTGAATACATTCAGTTTCTGCTCACGTATCCCCCTGAAGTCTACACGCTGGCCCCTTTAAAAAGACATTAACAGGGTGTGCAGTGCCTTGTATGTACTTATTCTGCACAACACAATGCAACAGTTGAACATTTCCACAAAGCTTCAAACAGGCAAAACAAAATGATCTGATGCCAAGAAGGCCGACTGTGTAGACGAGTGCAGACTGCTGCTAACTACCAATAAATGAATGCAAATAATGAAGAATTAAGCCGATGAAACAACATGAATAAAACATGCAGAACACACACGTGTCGCCACACTGTCACATCCAGCAGCTAATTAAGAGGACTCGGATGTCAAATTTCAGCTGAAGGATCTGTTGTTTTTTTTTTGTTTTTTTTTAAATTGACCCTGATCCTCGTCTCCGCAGGTGAATACACGGTGATGACAGCTCATTTCCATCTGAAGAGGAAGATCGGCTACTTTGTCATCCAGACGTACCTGCCCTGCATCATGACAGTCATTCTCTCCCAAGTGTCTTTCTGGCTGAATAGAGAATCAGTGCCGGCCAGGACTGTGTTCGGTGAGCATTCGGCGTCGTCGCTGACCGCATTATTGTTCATCTTCCACATTCCCAGCCGCGCTAACGTCATTTAACCCCAGTGTTAGTGTGTGAATGCTGTATTTCTCACATACGTAACGGCATTAGGGACGCAGTCTCGTTTTGTCAAGGATCGACTCTGTCAGTTTTTGGAGGATAAACGCAGTTGATGGCGAACAGTGTGTGCAGGAGAAAACCGGGTGAGGAGAGAAGAGAAGACAGCTCTTACAGGCCTCACTGCTTTTAAATCCACTTGGACAGGCTACTGCTGGAAACTAATATTAGTGACCCAAGACTGGTTCGCTGGCAGGAAAACGCAGGTGCACGAGTCGAGAAGAGGCTGTTTCCTTTGGCCAAACTTACCAAACCTGCTGAGAAACTGAAGCATTATTAAAGGTCACTGGTTATTAAGGTGTAGTGGGCTAATAATAGCAACCGTGCAATGTTAGAAAACAAAGCACAGTGAACAGTTCTCCTGAAAAAGAGGCAGCATAGCGGCAAACAGGTGGATTATTATTTCTGTGCTACAGTTGCAGAGCTGACTTTCAGGTGTGTTTTTCTCTCCTCTCCAGGTGTAACCACCGTCCTCACCATGACAACGCTGAGTATAAGTGCGAGGAACTCCCTGCCGAAGGTTGCCTACGCCACCGCCATGGACTGGTTCATCGCCGTCTGCTACGCCTTCGTCTTCTCCGCTTTGATTGAGTTTGCAACTGTCAATTACTTCACGAAGCGCGGCTGGGCTTGGGACGGAAAGAGTGTCGTGAATGACAAGGTAATGAAGAAGAAAAGGCGCCTTCTGACAGACTGTGTTTCCAAAGAGAATTTATTAGCATCTCGCTGGATGTTGAAGGAGGCAGATTGGAGCTTGAGACGTCTCTTAAAGGGTTTAAGGCTGTTTTAAAACCTCAACAAGTGGTGCTGAAGTGCTGCAGTGAGTTTTGAGAGCTAATGTGAAGAAAATCAAAGCTGGAGTTGGCAAGAATCTAGAAAAGGTGAACAAGCTTGATTACAAACACAAGCATAGACGTGAAATAGAATTAGCTGCAGCTGTGATTGGTTGGTTGTGGTTATCAGAAGACTGAACTCTTCCTACACGTCAACACATTTAAATGTTACAGGTGAATGAAGTTAGCATCTCACCTGTCCAGGAGACGAACTGTAAACTCAGAATGTAGTAGTTTCTGGATGAATGACGATGCTTCACTGATACTAACACGAGGTTTACTGCGTCTGTTGATAGATTCTCTCTTAAACTCACTTTCTACACCTGATTCAGACCTGATTAGACACATTATCATCAATTCAGACCATCTATTAACAGAACATTACCCCGATAGGATTGGTGACTTCTTGTGGTCATGTGACGAAGTGCATGCATTGGATTTTGCACACAGCGGACACAGTGGAGGTGTGAATCTGGCAAACATAGCAATGGGGTGTGTTTAAACCCAAACTATGACCCTTTTCTAAACCTAATCATTTTGGTGCTTAAACTGAATCAAACCCGGAGTGAAAAACAGCGTGTGCAAGTCTGAACGAGACTTCAGTCTGAAGATGGGACATTAACTTCAGCTTCCTCGGTGAATAACTGCTGACTTATGTCTCCTTCAGCCAATAAAAGACTTCTGAACCTACTAGAAGGTGGACAAGGTCTCTACATATCTTTATGAATGACGTGCTGATAATGCCTGATAATGAATGACATAGTAATGTTCAGGGGTGTTTTGCTTTGTCATGTTGACGGTTGTTACCAATGGTGGAACTTTTTCAAGATTGTCCATCACTGATTTAGGCTTTCTACTATTTGAAGGGATGAATACGTACACTTGTATTTGTAAAACAGCCAGTAGCTCTCTCTGACAAAGCCTGTGACTGGCTAAAGTCTCTGGCCACACAAGCTACATTTAGATTTAGCTTCAACAACCTTAAGCCAAGAGGAAGTTCAGAAGTTTAGTGTCCTCTCAGACCAGCTGAATTACAAAATGCTGAAGGGTTAGTTTAGAATTTTTGCTCAGTGGCGCCAAAAAGTACTGCCTACACCAGCTTTAATACGATAACATACCCATCCAGTCTTGTATGGTTCTGATAAGTTTGCTGGTAGATATAAGTATGACGAGTTAGTTCGCTGTCTGTCTGTATTCAGCCATGACACCAAAGCTTTTATGTTTTCTTGCACTAGAACAACTACTCATCAGAGAAGCATTCATCCCCTTAAAATTCAATCTGTCCAGTTCTGTGTCTGTCTTAAAGTCATAACAACATGGATCAGTCTACGACATATAATCCCGGCAGAGTAAAGTTTGAAGTAACAGAACCACTGATTAGTGTGACCGTGTTTGTGATCCAGAGGCCATCAACTCTTCTCATTTAACTATGATGAGCCCCAGGGCAAAGCTCTTAACCCTCAAACTGCTGCAGGGAAGTCTTGAACTGTGCACGAATCTGATCATGTAGTTGTCAGACACAACTTTATGCAGACAGTAGAGATAAGGAAGCAAAGTTTTATCCCTGGAGATATATATTCCTCCAAGCAGATTTATTATTAGAAGAAAATATGGCTACGATGAAGGAAAGGATAAATTACAGTTTACTTGAAGAAATCATTCATTAATTTAGCAACAGTAATGTCATTTTCCTGCATATTCTCTGGTAAATCTTAGATGTTCACGCTGTGGATGGATATATTCTGGTTGAGTGCAGTAAAAGTTCTTTTGCTCTTAACTTCTTATATAACCCTCGTTTCTGACCAACCGTAACTGTGGCCACATTTGAATCCCAAATCTTACAGTGTGTCTTAGGTCAGAGATGTGCTTGTTTTCGTTTTTAAAAGATCGCCAATATCACACCATTTATTAGAGGTAGAAGCTGCAAAAGCAGGAAGAGTAATTGAGTTTTTACATTTCCAACGGTCCTTGAATTATTCATGTTTGACGTGCCGTTCCATTTGGAGAAATTTGCTTAAAATTGTCGTATTTTATTAAAGTTACTTCTAAATTTGTCATTTTAAGATAAATTGTTGCATCAGATTGTGTAAAAATAAATAAATAAAATATAAAAAAAATAGCACACCTGAGAAGCCACAACTGATTCAGCTGTGACCAACAACTGTGTGACTTTTCAGGTGAACTGCAGACAGTGTTTACACTGACCATGTAGCAGACAATCAGAGTATGAGAGGAAATAGTACATGCTTCATCAATAAAAAAAAAAAATTAAAAAAAAGCACCATGCCTCAAAAATGGTATACAGAGTAGCAAGTTGTTGGCAGACACATCCAGCATGGTGAAACATCTTTTTAATGCTGATGTTCAGAGCAGAGTGAAAAACACCCAGTTTATAGAGGTTGTAAAATATAAATCGGATGGTCTATTAATAGCATGTGAGCTCCCTTTTTTTTAAAAAATAGAGCAGGTAGAGCATATTGTTGTTAACTTTGTTCTTGCATTGTGTTTAAAGAATATTAGTGATGCACAATATTAAAATTTCTGGACAGATCTCGATACCAATACCGATATTAAGATTTCTGATGTCGCCGATAACCGATATTACCAATGTTATATCCAATATATATCCAATTTTTGTTCACACTGACAAATGAATATAAGCAAGCAAATTATTCCAAAGAGGCCCATATCAAATTAGACCAATTTAGTCTTCTTTATTACATAGCAAAAGTAAAACATATTTAAACTTAATTTAACATATTTAACATTTAAGTCCAGGACCATTTAAGTGAAAACATCTGCAGCAATATCATAGATAGATAGATAGATAGATAGATAGATAGATAGATAGATAGATAGATAGATAGATAGATAGATAGATAGATAGATAGATAGAAGACAACAACGACAACAGCAGCAACCAAGCATTAAAAGTAAATTTGTTCATCGGACCGATACCGATATATGAAAAAACATGAAAAACGATGTGGTCACTGATATATTGTGCATCCCTACAGAATACTATCCTACCTTTCAGAGCAACAGTCTGGGAACAAATTAAAAACGTCCTGCTGAAAACATGCTATAACTTTTAACAGTAATATTCTAAGAACATTTTTTGAATTATCTGTGTAGATTCTCAGTCATCCAGGTCTTTCTAATCCTAGAAGCTTCAGTAGAAAGCACCTGGACTTTTCTTTTAGGTTCTTGAAGATGTTTCACTGCTCATCCAAGAGGCTTCTTAAACCTCCCGGGAATGTTTATACAACCAAAATAATTCTATCGCTTTTGGTCTCTCAACAGAAAAAAGAGAGGGCGTCCGTGATGAAGAAGAACAACGCCTACGCTGTAGCAGTGGCCAACTACGCGCCCAACATCACCAAGGACTCCAGCACACTTCCAACCATCGCCAAAGGAGGAGCCGCGGATCCCAACAAGCCTAAAGACGGCAAAGCTCCGGACAGCAAGAAGACATTCAACAGCGTCAGCAAAATTGACAGGATGTCACGGATTTTGTTTCCGGTTCTCTTTGGCAGCTTCAACCTCGTCTACTGGGCCACCTACCTAAACAGAGAACCCGTTATAAAGGACATGGTCCCCTCTAATTAGAGACCAGCTTCGATGGCTTCTGGTCTGGGGACTGAGATGAACCAAATACCTCCAGCAACTGTGTACACATACCTTTGCAGAGTGAAGTCCTGGATTGCAGTGTGATCCTCTATCTCCGCCTGTTTTCTACACCGTCTGCCGCACTTTTGAAAAGCCTGGCTTTTGTAAATGTGTATGTATATTTATATTCATGGTTTCATGGTGACATATCGTGTGAGTTCTTCGATTAGAGTGCATATTTCCTTCAGAGTATGTTTCCAGTTACAGTACGTGGCCACTGTACATACAAATCAAACGACGAGTAAAACACATTATCACATCTGTTTTATTTAGGATTAATTCTAAGTGTGTCGAATTTTTTCGCTGGTGATGCCCACTTTCTTGATATCACACTATATATTTTTGTTCTGAGTGAAAGGGACTGATGATGTGATTATTCTTTCTTTCCTTGCCATATGAGAGTGGCCTGACTCCTTTTCTTTCTGTCCAAGCCGATGCAAAAACACACTTGTATAATATTGTTACAGTGTAAAACTTGTTTTTATTATCTGTGACTTCAGGTATGGGGCTGCAAACGAACACTGATCTCCAGAATTACTGACACACTCCGAATCCAAAAAAGGCTGAGAAAATACACGGTGGTTCTGCAAAAGAAGGACGAGCCTAGTTGAAAGAGTTTTTCTTAGGACTTAAATGTCTTTACATGGTAGCAAATGTGATGATTTCGGAGCGAGGAGAGCAGCAGGTAGCAGGTATGAAACTCCATGCTGTCGTTATCACAAACATCTGACTTTATAAGTGGTTTTCTACTGCGGGAGCTTCACTTTTTTAGGGATGGCCCAAACTTTTGTACACTTCTGGCTGCAAAAACTGCCCCCGTAGGACCTCTTTCAGGGAGAAAAAAAGTATGTTCCTCTAAGCCACATAGAAAAACTGCTGTGCGGGTTTGGATGTGTCATTTTGGGGAGGACAACAAGTGCCGTTTTTCTGTCCTCGTCGAGTAGCAGTTTTCTCTCTAACATCGCCGTCAGTTTGCTTTATAGGCCAGAATAACAAACTTCCTTTCTTTTTTAAATACATATTTCAGACGTGCTCATTGAGGTCCAGTAACTATTTGTCGTTGTCTTGACGTCACAGAAAAGCCCAATCCAGGGGGTCATTCCTGTAAATGTTTACGCCACCTTCAGCCGAGTTCCTGCAGTCGAAAGCCGCCTCGTGAGACGAGAGAACTGGTGTCAGAGCTCCGGTGGTCATTAGAATCACTAAAGGAAACATTTCCATAGATGAAAATGCGATGCAAATATTTTTCTTAGAACAGAAGAAGCCTGACAAAGTACTTTTAGGCAAATATATCAGCCTATTTACACCAGCAGACATGCAGCAACATTAGCATTCATCTAGAGATGTGTTTAAGGACCGTCGGTCCAATATTTACCCACCTTTTAGCTCGGTTTTGGTCTCCACCATCAGGGAGTTTAGTTGTTTCTTCACCAAGTAGCTTGTGAAGATGCTCACGTTGTCTTTCTTGGATGTGATGTTGGACGAGTTGGTTGATTTGTGGGAGGTTTGTTCGCTGAAAGCAGCTGCCTGTAGCTGAAATGAACGGTGCAGAAACTGTGCTCTACATTAAACCAGAAGAAGCTCAAAAGCTGCTTGGAGCTGCACAGTCAAGTTAGAAATGACTCATTTCATGTCAAACATTTCCAAATGACGCTGTGTTACTGAACAATTAGCATAAAAGGTATAGAAAAGCGAACGGAGGGTACAAAACGGTGTATTTCTCAACAAGGTTATTTTAACGTGCTCATTGCTATCATATAGTACAAATGCACACAAATATCAGCCTTCAGATGGACCTGATGTGCAGACTGCCTGCTTACAATGTGCACACCAAAAGTGGATATAATTCTGGAGGACAGTGTGGATTTCTTGATGTTGACGAGAGCACTGTGGCACCAATCAGCATGTCTGCCATTCAAATTTTCATGTCTGCCATTCAAACTTTCATTATTCATCGCCACTGTCTGGCTATTTCCAACACATCTCATGATCACCATCCAGTCATTTTGAAAGAACTGCAGACTTGAGAGGGACGGGATTGTAAACACGGGCCCGATTCGTGCCAAAACGAACTTCAGTGAATCACGTGTCGAGGTTCTTTTAATAGCGACGCTCGTTTGCCAGCAAATCTTTTGTGTGAAAGGCCAAAAGTGAGAAGATAAAGCGAGTTTTTGGGGTGAAATTAGTGTTCTTTTTTTAATCATCACAGGGTTTCATCCCATACTCGGATGCAGATTTGCTGCTACGTACACAAAAACTTTAGACCTTAACTCAAAAGCCATATGCAGTCGTCATGTAATCAAACTCCATCAGCAATGAAACAACAGGGACCAACGATGATTGTGCTTCATGAGCATGTGTTGAAAAATCATATTGAGTTAAAGTTATGGAAAGATTGTGGTGTTGGTTAAATATTCAAAAGGATTCCTTTGATATATGAGCAGTATGTCAGACTCCACGAATTAGAAAAAGTGTATTATATAAACCTTTTCTGTTGACGATCTCGTTGCTTTACCGCCATGATTATTGTATATTGTGTAAGAAGAATCACGTTCAGCCCCATATCAGCAGTCATGTACGGTACTCTGAGGTGTTCTCTTTCATGAAGTGGTATGATTTCTCTTCACATCAGTATCCTGATTTTAACTCGGTTTGTTTGCTGAATCAGACTTTGCATGGAGAAAACTCTAGGATTTATATGATTTACTTTTTTTTTTTTCTTATGTCGTCGGATATTATTCATATTTTCTCCAACGTCCTGATAGAATCTTAAACATTCCAGATAAAATGATTGTTCACGAGGTGGATGCTTGATTCAGTGCACAGTTTCTAATAAAAACACATTATTTCAGTTCTTTATACCCAGTTCTTGTCAGATTTGTGAAGACTGATACAGATTTTTTTTACTCTTTTTTGTTATTTCTTAAGGGATAATAGGTAGGGAAGCTATTGAATACATCTTTTAGTCCACAATGTTTGAAAAGTCTCAGCTTCTCTCTTCAAATACAAAAGAAATCTGATGCTTTTTTTTCTGTTACTCCTTTAATCGGTGGAAAAACTACTGATAGTTTGAGGCATCAGGTGAAAATAATAACTTAAATATCACAACAAAACCTCCCCAGTTGATTACTTGCATTAAAAAAAACTGCTTAAATATGCAAATATTACATTATTTCATTAGAAACGCACCAATTTGCCTAAAAAGAAATCTGAAACATTGGACAATGTTAGCATTGAATTCTTATTTAAATGTGTTGTTTCGATTTTCTCATATCTCTTTTATTCCCTCCATGAATCCAAAAAAAGCTGTTGATTTTTGCCATGTTTTTAGGAGTGACATGTTCTATTAATGAGGCTGTGAATAATAGCTCGTACGAACAAAGCTTCCTGTAAAAATGGGAAACTTTGGTGAATGTAGCTGCTGCTGAAGTGGAGATTTCTGGCTCTCAGCTTTGAGAGAAAACAGCCTTCAAAGACGTGTTCTGTGAAATTCTGTTCGTTTTAATTGGACAACACTGTTTATGGACAAACTTGTTCAGCTAACAGATATCATCAGGAAACTTTTCACATTTAAACAATTGTCTTTTTGTACTACAAGTTTCCTGACACTGTGTGCAAATTAGGTGTTTTTTTTTTTTCATTAGATTTGTGCAAATTTGCATAAAAATGTCGTGAAATAAAAATCTGAATGTGTGTTTTGGAAGCAAACAGCCTAAAATCTCAAAACTGACCAGCGCATTGAAAGAAAATCAGATTTTTCCTGTAGTGTCTCGACTTAAGAGGAAACAGAGCTGCATGTTTTTGAGATGTTCTTGCTTGACTTCCATCAGATTTAGAAACACCGTACCCAACCAATGTGAAGCTTCTCTTTCCTACTTTAACACAACTATCAGACAATAAGAGCCTTTAGTTTTCCATCAGCTGCAGGAAAAAAATATATTTTACCACAAAGGATTCTTCTAGAAGTCATGACTAGTGGAACATCTGGAAGGATGTTGCCTCCCTTTAGTTACTTAGGTGACCAACTGGTGTCTCAGGGTCATAAATGCAGAGGTGATGTTATGAAAACACACGAATAAATGATGTTTTAAGGAATCTTTCTGTTTTATTTTGCGGTTCTACTTTGACAGCAGCTCGCTGGGCTAAGAGCGTGGCGGCTAAGCTCGCCCTGTGACATTATTACTGTGAGTTCAGCTCTGTATCCGAGGGCTGCATGTTCACAGTTAACAACAGCTCAGTGGACTCGCAGGACCACGAGTGCAGCAGCTCAGCGTTTCCTCAGCAGGAGAGGAGGCTGTCAAGCAATGCTTCAGTGCTGCCAGGGACCATCATTACCAGTGTGTTGGTAAAACCCACAAAAAAGCCCCGTGGCACTGAGCTGTAATGCAAAGCTCGCTGAAGTTTCATTTTCCAGCCTGATCTTTCCACCACCGCTCGGAGTGAGATCTCCTCCGTCCACAGCTGACCCTGACAGGAGTCGCTGCTGATGGATGGGAGGAAGCAGCGCAGCACAGGCGCTCACAAACACACACATAAATCTTCATAATTGAGGATCGGTTGCAGTTTTTCGCACGCGTCAGATTGGAGCATTTAAAGACGAGTCACACTTTTAGACGGTTCTGCTCCTCAGTGAGAGAGCTGCAGCTAATGTGTGACTTTTATATTCTAAAAACGTTCTGAGAAAGTTCTGGTAATGCCTCCACTGAGAAGTTTTTCTTTAATTCTTAGAATTTTGTTCCTAAAGGCCAGATAAAGTTCTCTAAAGAATGTTCTTTCTTTGTTTACAGCAATGTTTATAAAACAACGTACAACATCTCCAGAACGTTCTCAGAATATTACCAGCAAAATGTTCTACTTTTGTTAAAATGTCAAATTGTAGGAACGTTTTGTATAAAAACACATTCTGTCGTCTGAGGCCTCGATAACATCTGAAGATTTTGGACTGTTGGTTTGAGAACGTTCTACTTTTGTTTTCATGTAACATGATCTGACAATATCCTTCAAACATCCTCTGAATGTTCAAACGTTCTATCTTAGTTCACTTTTAACCTCATAGGAACATTATTTGAAGTGATCAATATCCCAAGAATGGTCTTTGAACATTAGATTTAAAAGCTTTCCCTAAAACATGATTAGAACTTTTAGGTAATGTCAGTCAATGTTGCGGGAACCTTTACCATATGGTGTAAAGTCAACATTCAGTCAGGAACATAACTTACAGAATAACAGAATTACAATCTTGCATTTTGGTTCTTTCCCACATTTATTACAGATCATTATTGAGCAGATTATACAGATTATTGAGCTATTTGGCCACAATGACCAGAAGTATGTTTGGAGTAGAGAAGGTGAGGACTTTAACCCCGAGGACACCAAACCTACCATCAAGCACGGTGGTGGCAGCATCATGCTGTGGGGCTGTTTCACTGCCAGTGGAACTGAAGCTTTACAGAGAGCAAATAATGAAGATCGGCGGATTACCTCCACACTCTTCAGGAAAAGAAGGGTCTTGGATACAGCTGGGAGTTTCAACAGGGCGATGTTCAATTCCAACATTCAAAAAATGGTTTCCAGACGTTATTGATGTCTCAGATGGCAGAACAATTTACATACAGACCTTCTGTAATGCTTCTTTAATGTGATATATGAAAGGTAGAACAGCTCTCCTGTTTGTTGAGGGAACTTATTATAGAACATTCTTATACAAGAGTTTTTCTACAACAACAACAAAGGAAGTATGTTCCCAGTAAAACGTTTTCAAGATTTAAATGAGGAGTCAGATAGCTTCAGATGACAGAACGCTTTAAAAGAAGTTCCGGTACTCCGATATAATAACAAAGGTGGAACATTCTGGCTGCAATGTTCTGAGGATGTTTTAGGGATGTTGCTGAGGGAACACATTATAGAATTTATGAAACATCCCCACAATGTTCCACAATGTTACATCATAACAAAGAAAGAACAATTGTCAGTGCAGGATTCCGTTTTGAGAAAGTTTGGAGATAACAGTCCAACAATGTTTTCACCAAACCTTTTTAGAACTTGTTTAGGTGTCCTACAACTAGGAAGTACATTCTAAGAACTAAAAGAAAACATTCCACTGATGACATTAGTATATTTTGTAGAACATTCTCAGAAGAATTTTGTGAAGCAACAAGTTCTACAGTTTGCTCACTTTAACATTAACATGTGTGAACCCAGATGATCTGGAGAATCTCCTCATATTAGCTCAGATTGTCCTGATGTCTGACTGACATGCTCAATGCACATGAATGTCCCTTTCTTTAATCTTTTTTTTTTTATTTTAGATTTTGCAAAACACTCAGTCACTCTTTTATGGTAAATTTAAAAAAAAATGCTGTCAGATGTGTAGTTAAATGTCCAGACAGGCTTAAATTCCCTCAAGTGGAACCAGCTAATGACACAAATCACACGTCAGGCGTTTTGACATGTATCAGCGTAATGCTGCTCCAGAACCCTGTTAAAGGCTGTCTTTAAAAAAAAAAGAGAGAAAAAACTCAAAACAGTTGTCGCTGATGTTTCTAGGACCCAATGGCAAGACCTTTTTTATTCCAAATTTAGATTTTTCTTTTTTAAAAATGTTAAAGTATAAATAACTGACATTTATGTAAAGTCAAATCAGTCCAAGAGCTCTCTCACATTTCAGACTTTTGCTTTGAGACACAAAGCTTTGTTTCATAACACATTTTGTGATTCCTCAAAGATTTTTCCGTTCAATTTGGTTTTTAAGCTATTTTTATTTCCCAGCTAAACATAGACACTTGTCAGAAGTGACAGCCTCTTGTCGCATGTTGAACATCAGGTGAGTCTGATCTATGTTCTTATTTATATCTTCGTACTGTGTAGTATAATGCATCCATAATGTCTTGCATTCTGTCACATTTATGACTGAACAGCACATTTGATTTTTTTTTATTGTGCAGAAGAAAGGAGACAGCAGAGTCTTTGAGGAATGAGGCGACGTCTTCAAAACAGATGTAACTGCAACGTGTTACATTTCAAAATGATTAAATTAGAGTCACAGAGAATTTCTTTTCAATACGATCCCTAAATTCTCCAAGACTTCTGTATCCAACTTCTTACTTTGATTATTTAGCTTGAAATACTACAAGCTAGTCAGAAGTGATAGCCTCTTTTCTCATGTTGTACATCAAGTAGCCAAATTCTATTTATATACATAGAATTCCTAAAATACTGTAATATGTGTTATATTCATATTAGGGGGAAAAATGCAGTGTAGTATATATTTCTGATGGATTTAGAAGTGAGCATACAGAAACACTAATTTTATTAAGTGCAGAAGAAACAGGACAGTTGAATCTTATGGAAATAAGCGATTTAAAAAAAGATATATGTGTCACAATGATTATTGTTACACCGTTATAATACACTTGAAAAGGTAAAGAGAGAATAAACCAGTGTTAATGTAAAATTGGTCTTTAACTTTTCAATTGCAATAAGAGAAATGCATGACTGGTACATGTAAGAACAGTTCTACACACCACCTGTGTCCTATAATTGGGTACATTATCCATCCTGCCTTATCTGTGCATCTGAAAGACGTAAATAGTCCTTATTATATAAGTATAAAAATATATTATTTACACACACACACACACACACACATATATATATTTATATGATTGCATGACAGGCAGAGAGAGGCTTATTATCTCTGGTTGCACAAAGAAGAGAAGCAGTAATCTATTCTTGTGCAAGAGGCAGCTTGGTTGTCATAGCAACTGATATCCATTTTTATCCTTTATCAGACGGAGGGGGCGGGACTTCCGGCTGTCAATCATCTCCAAAGATAATAATAAAGGAGCGATGATTATTTTCCTGTGGCGCTTTCAGACGTCTCAGACGTGTCTGTAGATTATTAATCCGGGGTTATTCTTTGAAGATATCCCTGGAACATATAGAGGAAGATTTCTGCACAGTCGTATTTAAATTGTTTAACCCTGATTAATAAATGAGCGCCCATATATTACACTGCTAGAGTGTTAATATTTCATTAATTTCTTTTTTTTTTCCGGTTGTTTTTTTTTCTGGAACAAACGAAATCAGAAGTTAGAGTCTGATTTCATCTCGTTTCATTTTATCGTCTCTGCTCTGAGAAAATCAACCACATTTCCCAGAAGCCTTTGCGCTGACCTGTCACCCAAAATGTCAGCACCCAGAGAGCTCATGCACCGGGGTTAAAACAGGACAGTTTACTGCACGGTTTGCTGCAGTTTTATGGTGGCAACAGACCACTAACGGCCCGTTATAGTTTAATTAATTAGTGTTTTATCATGTCGGTTAATTAGAAGAGTTCCGCTGCTAGCTAGCGAGCTGTAGCTAACATCCTGTAGCTAGCAGCCGAACAGAAACATGTCGCTGTCTCTGGTGAAACGCTGCTGTGAAACACCTCTGATTAGACGAGTTTTACAGTTTAAAATGTTCAGGAGGAGAATCCAGAGCTGTAACTTGAGCTACACCGTGTGGAGACACCGATGGATGAAGAGACTACCGGTGATAAGCAGCAGCTTCAGGGGGATGAGCTCCCAGACAGACAAGGTAACGTGAAGGTAACACCTGGGAGGTAAATAACTCACAGTCACAGTCATTACTCAATAATACACCGCGGGTGCAAGTATAATAAACCAACAAAAAACAGCCATTTTCATGCACATAAAACCTAAAAGCTGCAAATTTGGATGGGACATTGGGGAGTACACTGAACTGAAGAGAGGAGATTTGTTAAGAAGCTGCTTGTTTATAAAAGTGACTCTGAATCTGTTCCAGCCAGAAATAGATGAAACAAATTATGGGTTTAACTGTGTTGTTTGAATGTCTGTAGTAATCAGCAGGTGTCTTTTCTTTTTCTTTAAAGGATGCTGTTGACCTGTCCAAGTTCCCTGCAGACAGAATCAGGAATTTCTGCATCATCGCCCACATTGACCACGGAAAGAGCACGTTGGCTGACCGGCTGCTGGAGATGACAGGTGTGTTTGCTCACTTCATTCTACGCCGTTTACATGATGTCACTGGAAATCATGTGGTTCATAGTGTAACAAAGGCATCATGTCAGCTCACCTGGCACTCCTGATTCATGAGTTTTCTTGAAGAAATTTATTCAAATGCTTAAATGAAGCTGCAAAAGTTGTAAAGCTCTGCCTTAAATGCTTATTTAGATATGAATTCTTGAAGTTTGCTCCTCTGAGCTACATTTGATCATTTTTCCAGTCTTTTTACAGCCTCGCTTGTTGCTTATTTTGTACTGGATTGGGCTGAAATTTGTCCTGAACATTCACAAAACTGTCACAATACTTCATGTACTACAGCAATCAAATAAATAACAATCAAATAATTTTAAACTCAGATGAGGAATCTTACATTTTCTCCAGTTTTCACTTTGTTGCTACCAAACTGTGATTCTGTTTAGTATTAATACAGTTCAGTCGTATATAGTAAATTATTAGCATCACAGCTGAAAAACCTCCTTTTAAGATAATGTGACTGAATATGATCCAAATAGTGAAAGTGTTAATATTCATTGCACATAAAAAAAATGGACAGACGTTAGACTACTTGGCCATTTATTTAATATCCTGTTAGTCTTTATTTCACTTGTAAGTATTTGGACTTGATAGTAAGTCAATGCAGGAAACATGAAATATTAAATGTTACAAAAAGGAATTTTACTTGAGCTAAAATAAATAAAAATGTCATTGTCAATCTGTGCATATGTATTTTAAAATGAGCATCAAATTCACACTGTATGGCAAATTACTGTCAAAAAAACAAAAAAGCTTAGAAAAGCAGAATTTGTGTGCGGCAGACCTCCTATATTGGATTGTATAAGGATTTCACAGGCGTTCTAATAAAGTCACTGGTGAGTTCCAGTACAATTAACTCCCTGTGTGTTAAAACCACTGAATGTAACGTTACAGTCAGTGGAGAGCATGAACAGTCAGCTATTTTCTAAAAATGCTTAAATTCTGGTGAAATAATACAACATCTTTCAATTTGTATAACTTGTTCATGATTATTTAGCCGTCCAATAAAGAAGGAACAAAGGAAGCCATCCCTCTTGGAAAAATAAAACACAAAAAAAGCAACGTTGTTCTCCTCTCCAGCTGTATTCAGTCATGTCTGTGGCAGTTCTTTATGCAGGATAAAATAACATCTACATATAATAGAACTGTATTAATATGACACAGATACCATTTTTTTATATTGGTAAGTTTCGTTATTATAAGCTGTTAGTGTCTGTTTTCACTGCAGTTAAGTTTTATTACTATGGAAATTTAATAGATTTGGTATTAAAGCGCAAATTGAGTGAAAAAGGCTTAAAACCGTGTGTAAAGTTTCTCTGTGGTGTGTTTCTTTGGGTGAATATTGGTGCTGAAATGTGGATGAAGTCACCCCTAAATGGTTCTACAAAGCCTGAAGTCCAGTTTATCGTGCATTCAGACTCAGGCTCAGTTTCATGTTACTCAATCCGACCCAGTAAGAATGGAACCAGTCTGCACATCCAGACAAGAAGCCAACACATTCAGTTGCCGTCAGATTAACAGAACAGGATGAAATGTCTAAAAGGAGCTTAAGTAAGCAGAAAGTAAATCATGTTATTCTTGTTTTACTAAGTGATGTATTTGACAAACAGGCGCCATCGCAAAGACCGAGAAGAACAAGCAGGTTCTGGACAAGCTTCAGGTGGAGCGAGAGAGAGGAATAACGGTGAAGGCCCAGACGGCCTCGTTGTTCTACAGCCACCAGGGAGAGCAGCACCTCCTGAACCTCATCGACACGCCGGTGAGTCCTCCGCCGGGTTTACTGCTGCTGTGGTCTGTTGTTGGGCTGGAAAATACTGAAGAAGGAAAGGCATGCACATCCCTGAGGCCCACTGGGTTGGGTGCTGGATCACAAAATGTCAAAAATGAGAAAAGAAGAGAAGAACGATCCGCACACCAAAAACAGGCTCCCTTATACCATTTATTGGCGTGACGTTTCGAGCAAAATGCTCTTCGTCAGACTGCTGGAAAATACCGTACATGAGTATAAGCCACTAACTTTAAAAAGAAAACCAATTTTGTACATATACAGGCTGCACTTGTCTGTAAGCTGCAGGTGTCCACGTTGTAACATGAGACATTTACACAGACAGATTTTTTTAACTTTTAGTTAAATACGTACCGGTAACATACACAGATACGTTTTTTTCCTGAACAGTTCCTGCAACACAGCTGGTTAAAAAAATAAAAACTACAGCAGCCTACTAGGAAAAAGTCATTGATCGCTATCTTCATCTTCCTCCTGTGCACTAAAACCACGAAAGTCTTCAGTGTCGGAGTTGAACAGCCTCAGAATCACTTGATCAGTCTCTCTTTCGTTGTCGCTCTAAATGTCACTTTGGTCTTGAGGCAAATTCATAAAAATCCATAAATTAGCCGCATCATTGTTTAAGCCGCAGTGTTCAAAGCGTGTGAAAAAAGTAGCGGCTTATAGTCCGGACTTTATGGTATCTGATGGCAGGAACCTTTAGGTCAATTATGTGAAGTGTCAAATATTTAGCTGTGTTCACTTTAATTTAAACCACTTTCATGTCACTTTAAAGTGTTTTATAAATGTCATCAGCAGATTGACGTGGAGCTGACGTGTTTACATGCTGCATCTCTCAGCCTTTTCTAATCTCGTGTTCACGTCTCTCCAGGGTCACGTCGACTTCAGTTATGAGGTGTCTCGCTCGATTTCTGCGTGCCAGGGCGTCCTGTTGATTGTTGATGCCAATCAGGTACTAAACTAAATTTCTTACAGTGAATTATTCTAAATATTCGTGCTGCTTGTAATAAATTTGGTAATAATCTGTTTTCCTGTGAAGGGCATCCAAGCGCAGACGATGGCCAACTTCTACCTCGCCTTCGAAGCTCAGCTGGCAATCATACCCGTCATCAATAAGGTACCGCTGTGTGGGGTAATTACATGTGTCGTTTTCCAGCTTGATTACATGAGGCAGGTGATTCTGGTATTTTTTATTTTTTTTCTCCCCTCAGATTGATTTGAAAAATGCTGATCCGGAGCGAGTGGAGTCACAGATTGAAAAGGTGTTTGATATTCCACGGGAAGAATGCATCAGGGTGAGATGGAGCGCCGGCGGTTATACCGTGAGCTGCTTTTTAATTGGCTGTCAATCACTTGTCTGAGAAACGTCCGTTCGTGTTTTCACAGATTTCAGCTAAACTTGGAACAAACGTCGAGCAGGTTCTCCAAGCGGTCGTGGAACGGATTCCGCCGTAAGTAGGCTCAGGCGGCTTGAGTTCTCACCGGGAACGCGCTACGACTGAAGCTCTTTCTGTTTCCTTTCACCCCCCTCAGGCCGGTGGCGAGCACCAAAGACCCCTTTAAAGCCTTAGTGTTTGACTCCAATTTCGACCACTACAGAGGAGTCGTGGCCAACATCGCTGTGTTCGGGGGTCGGGTCAAAAAAGGGGACAAGATCGTGTCGGTGCATCTCGGCAAGACCTACGAGGTCAACGAGCTCGGTCTGCTCCGGCCAGATGAGCAGCCGACACAGAAACTGTACGCTGCTCTCACCCTCATCTCATGTCTGTTTCCCCTGTTTCATGTTTCTGGTTCTAAAACTGACA